CCTTATATCAGACCACATCGATTTCAGAGTGAGGAAGGTCATAAGAGACAGTGAAGGCCATTTCTTATTGATCAAAGGATCTGTACAACAGGAAGAACTTACAATAATAAATGTATATGCACCTAATGAGAGACCAGCAAAGTACTTAAAACATCTACTCATAGATTTGGAAAAAGACATCAATAGCAACACAATACTAGTGGGAGACTTCAACACTGCTTTGTCACCTCTTGATAGATCAACCAGACTCAAGCTTAGCAAGGACATACTTCATTTGAGGGAAACAATGGAAGAAAGGGACTTAGTAGATATATACAGGACACTTCATCCACAAAAAGCTGAATACACATTCTTCTCAAGCGTACATGGAACATTCTCCAAGATATACCACATGCTGAGCCACAAAACATGCCTCCATAAAATTAAGAAGGTAGAGATTGTATCAACAATCTTCTCAGACCATAATGCGCTGAAATTAGAAGTAAATCACACACAAAAACAGAAAACTAAATCAAACACCTGGAAATTAAACAGTGCACTATTGAACAACGAGTGGATTAGACAGGAAATCAAAGAGGAAATCAAAAGATTCCTAGAAACGAATGAAAATGAGAACACGAGTTACCAAAACTTATGGGACACAGCAAAGGCTGTGTTAAGAGGAAAGTTTATAGCTCTACAAGCATTCCTCAGGAAGGAGGAGCGAGCACACATAAGTAACCTAACCTCACAGCTTAAGAGCTTGGAGAAGGACCAAAAAAAGGAGCACAACCCGAACAGGAGAAAGGAAATAATAAAACTCAGAGCAGAGATTAATGAGATGGAAACCCAAAAAACAATCCGAAAGATCAATGAAACCAAAAGCTGGTTCTTCGAGAAAATTAACAAGATCGATAAGCCTCTAGCAAAACTCACAAAGAAAGGGAGAGAGAAAACCCTAATAAACCGAATCAGAAATGAAAAGGGGGTCATTACAACAGAAACCACAGAAATTCAGAGGATCCTCAGGGAGTACTTTGAAAAGCTTTATGCCACGGAACATCAAAACCTCGAGGAAATGGATAAATTCCTAGACTCCTACAGACTCCCAAGGCTGAACCAAGAAGACCTGGAATACCTGAACAGACCTATCACCATCAAGGAAATTGAAATGGTAATAAAAAGTCTCCCCAAGCACAAAAGTCCTGGCCCGGATGGATTCACGAGTGAATTCTTCCAAATCTTTAAAGAGGACTTACTCCCGATGCTCTTTAAGCTTTTCCACGAAATTGAAATATCAAAAACACTTCCGAACAGTTTCTACGAAGCAAATATCACACTGATACCAAAAGCAGACAGAGATACTACAAAGAAAGAGAATTACAGGCCGATATCCCTGATGAACACAGATGCAAAGATCCTCAACAAACTACTAGCAAATAGAATCCAACTACTCATCAAAAAGATCATACACCATGACCAAGTAGGATTCATCCCAGGGATGCAAGGATGGTTTAACATTCGGAAATCAATCAACATAATCCACCATATCAACAAAAGAAAAGATAAAAAGCATATGATCATATCAATAGATGCAGAGAAAGCATTTGATAAGACCCAGCACCCCTTTATGATGAAAACCCTAGCCAAAATGGGTATAGAGGGGACCTTCCTCAACATAATTAAAGCCATCTACCACAAGCCTACAGCAAGCATCATCCTCAATGGGGAAAAACTGAGAGCCTTCCCTCTAAGATCAGGGACGAGACAGGGATGCCCACTCTCTCCACTGCTGTTCAATATAGTACTGGAAGTACTTGCAATAGCGATTAGGCAGGAAAAAGATATTAAGGGCATTCAGGTAGGAAAGGAAGAAATCAAGCTCTCACTATTCGCAGATGATATGATACTCTACTTAGAGAACCCAATAACTTCCACCAAAAAACTCCTAGAAACAATAGACTCGTATAGTAAAGTTGCAGGTTATAAAATCAATACCCAAAAGTCCATGGCTTTCCTATACGCAAACAGTGAGAGAGAAGAAAGCAACATGAAAAAAACAATCCCGTTCACAATTGTGCCCCAGAAAATCAAGTACCTAGGAATCAGCTTAACTAAGGAAGTAAAGGACCTGTACAAAGAAAACTACAAAACGCTACTTCAGGAAATAAAAGAGGACATGAGGAAATGGAAAGATATCCCCTGCTCATGGGTCGGGAGACTTAACATTGTCAAAATGGCAATACTACCAAAAGCATTGTATAAATTCAATGCAATCCCTATAAGGATACCCATGACATTCTTCAAAGAAATGTAGCAAACACTCCTGAAATTTATATGGAACAATAAGCCCCCACGAATAGCTAAAGCAATTCTTGGGAAAAAGAAAATGGGAGGAATCAACCTCCCGAACTTCAAACTGTACTACAAAGCAGTAATAATTAAAACAGCATGGTACTGGAACAAAGGCAGAACTGCAGACCAATGGAACAGGGTTGAATACACTGACATCTCTCCTCAATCATATGCTCATCTAATCTTTGATAAAGGTGCAAGTAATGTGAAGTGGAGTAAGGAAAGCCTCTTTAATAAATTGTGTTGGCATCACTGGACGGCTACATGCAAAAAAATAGGCTCAGAACTCTGCCTAACACCATGTACAAAAGTAAGATCAAAATGGATTAAAGACCTCAACATCAGACCAGAAACCATAAGGTACATTGAAGATAAAGTTGGCAAAACCCTCCATGACATTGAAGCTAATGGTATCTTCAAAGATGCCACGCCACTGGCCGAGCAAGTGAAAACAGAGATAGATAAATGGGACTATCTTAAACTAAGAAGCTTCTGCACCTCCAAAGAAACAGTGACCAAAATACAAAGACAGTCTACAGAATGGGAAAGGATATTCGCCGAATACACATCTGACAAGGGGTTGATATCCAGGATATACAAAATACTGGTTAAACTCCACAAGAAGAAAACATCCAACCCCATCCAAAAATGGGGCAATGAAATGAACAGAAACTTTCTCAAAGAAGAAATCCGAATGGCAAAAAAGCACATGAGAAAATGCTCTACATCATTAATCATCAGGGAGATGCAGATCAAAACCACAATGAGATACCATCTCACACCCCAGAGACTAGCCCACATTCAAAAGAACAAAAGCAACCGATGCTGGCGTGGATGTGGCGAGAAAGGGACACTCCTTCACTGTTGGTGGGAATGTCCACTGGTTCAGCCCTTCTGGAAAACAGTATGGACGATTCTCAAAAAATTAGAAATTGAGCTCCCATTTGACCCAGCAATACCACTCCTGGGAATATATCCCAGAGAGGCAAAAATGTATAATCGAAGTGACATCTGCACTTGTTTGTTCATTGCAGCACTCTTTACAATAGCCAGAAACTGGAAGAAACCTGAGTGCCCAAGAACAGATGACTGGTTAAAGAAACTTTGGTACATCTACACAATGGAGTACTATGTAGCTCTTAGAAAAGATGAAGTCATGAAATTTACATACAAGTGGTACAATATGGAAAGTATCATGCTAAGCGAAATGAGTCAGAAAGAGAGGGATAGACATAGAAAGATTGCATTCATCTGGGGGATATAAAGTAACAAAGTAAGAGATTAATACCCAAGAATAGCTGAGATCAGCACCAGGAGGATTACTCCATAACTTAGAGGCCAGCCGGGTATCCTAGAGGAAAGGGCAGTTCAGATAGAGAAGGGAGCACCAAATTAAGGATGTTTGGAGGATCCTCCCAGGAGGGGAGATGCATGTCGAAAGTAGACTATGGACTGAACATGTTTGCCACTCAATGCCTCTTTTGCAGACCACAACACCCAAAAGGAGAGAGAGAACACAGGGGATTGCCCTGCCACAGAGACAGGGGGGATGGGGGGATGGGGGTGGGAGGGATATTATCCATGGTGGTGGAAAATGGGCACTGGTGGAGGGATGGGTATCTGATCATTGTATAATTGAAACCAAAGCACATAAAATTGTAAATCTACAACTTTAAAAAAAAAATAAAATACAATAAAGGGAAAAAAAAAGAAAAAAAAATAAAATAAAATAGCAAAGACCATAAAAAAAAAAAAAAAAAACAAGGGGCTGGAGTGATAGGGCATTTGCCTTGCATGTGGCTGACCCGGGTTCAATCCCCGGCATCCTATACGGTCCCCCAAGCACCGCCAGGAGTAATTCCTGAGTCCAGAGCCAGGAGTAACCCATGAGCATCCCTGGGTGTGACTCAAAAAGAAACAAAGTGAAACAAAACAAAACAAACTCCATTTCTCTTTCCTCCCCTTTGTCATTGTTGCCAGGCCCAGTGGTCACACACTCTGACTTGGGGTCCCAGTCACTGGTTTATCTGGTGACACTGCTGCAGGCAACCAAGGCAGACACCACCCCTGCTTGATCAGGCACCTCTGGTGCTGCCCTAACCCCAGGCACTCATGAGCACCAGTTCCCACTGGCCTGTGTCCCATGGGACACAAGAGTGACCGAGCTCTTTGAAGGACATCACCCCTGGCTCAAATCGCAACTTCCTCTTCCTGTTGTTCTCTGCACTTGAGAGATTTGGTCCTTCCATCTCTGTGCCCTGGACTAGGGCACTGTCTGGAATGAGTAGGTGCTCAGTTAAAACTGGTTTGTGACTGTCTGAATAACTGACTATCAAACAGCAAGCCAAGATATGATCCTGGCTCAAGAGAAATCAGAAATACAGAGAGAAAACCAGAATGCCGAAATTCGCCAACAGCCTAATATCTTATGTTTAAAGTGCTGACTGAAAGCACTTCAAATAAAATTAAGTCTTTAAAAAAAGAAAGAAAGAAAAGTAAAAGAAACCATAACCACATAAACAATACCGAAGGGCCCTTCGCAATGTCATTCTTGACACATGAGCTCGGAGAGGCAGAACGCAGTGATTTAACGAACAATGAGACGTGATTTCTGAATGTGAACCAGAACCAGAGCATGCCTAACAGAAGAATAAACAAAAAACACGTAAGTAAGAACCATTTTATTGTCAGCACCAACTGCCGTACACTCAAAACACTCAAGGAAATTCACAAGGGTCCACAAATTGAAAGTCAGAAAGTGAACGTGAGATCTACAATAGAAAACCACCGCGACACCGGCTCCGTCCAGCTGGAAAAGGGAAAAAAACGCTTATATCTAGAGGACACGCTTCAGGTTGGCTAGGGTTGTGTGAAAAAGAAGAAGAGAACAAAGAAACAGACAGATAGGGTATTGCAGAGTTTCCCTGGGACCAGGCACCAGCCAGGACCGTCTGTGGCCTTTATTCGTGGCCTCGTCATTGTCTTCTTGTGACCAGGGCAGACCTGCAGCTCTTGGCTCCCATTCTCAGCCGCCACCGTCAGTGCTCCGAGCGGTATGCAGGGAACGTCTCTGTCCGATGCAGCTTCAGAGGGCTGGAAACATCTATTCAGGAGGAAGGTAGAAAGGACAGTTAGGCATCAGGAAAACCCATGATGAAATGAGCTAGGAGCACGCTTTGAAATAAGCGATGTCAGGACACACACACACACACACACACACACACACACTCACACACACATATGTGTCCCGTCCCGTGGGACTAGTCAACGTGGGTAACAGGAAGAGAGTGAAAGAAAGAGACAGACAGAAGGATTAGAGTATAGTGAGCAAAGGTGGAAACTGCTTTATTGTAAATTCAACAGCACTTACATATGTTGAACTTAAGCTTTGTCCCTCATACCTTCGGGGCAGAGACAAAAAAGGGTAGTCATGGGACAGATGGAGGAGAAAACAGGTTATCAGGGGCTCTTCAGAAAGGCTACTCGTTAAATCACAGGCTGACATCAAGAATGTTCTAGTTCCTCCCAGGATGGGAGAAGCATGCTCAAAGTAGACTATAGATCAAACATGATTGCCACTCTACACCTCTTTTGCAAACCACTCTTTTGCAAACCACAACACCCAAAAGGAGAGAGAGAACAAAAGGGAATGGGGGGAATGGGGGGTGGGAGCGATACTGGGATCCGTGGTGGTGGGAAATGGGCACTGGTGGAGGGATGGGTATTTGATCATTGTATAATTGAAACCCAAGAACAAAATTTGTAAGTCTACAACTGTACCTCATGGTGTCTCACTAATAAAAATTTTAAAAAAAATGTTCTAGTTCCTGTTGGCCAAGCATCCTGTTCTCGTAAAATGCCTTTCTTAACCCTATAAATATTCTATAGATGATGTCTTGTGAAAGCTATGCACCCAAGAGCCCACTCACTACACACAGGGCTGGAAACATCTATTCAGGAGGAAGGTAAAAAGATCAGTTAGGGGTCTGGAGAGATAGCACAACGGGTAGGGCATTTGCCTTGCACACGGCCGACCCGGGTTTGATTCCCAGCATCCCATATGGTCCCCTGAGCACCACCAGGAGTAACTCCTGAGTGCAGACCCAGGAGTAACCCCTGTGCATTGCCAGGTGTCACCTCCAAAAAAAGCAAAAAAAAAAAAAAAAAGGTCAGTTAGGCATCAGGAAAGCCAATGATGAAATGAGTGAAGAGCACACTTTTGAAATAAGTGATGTCAGGGGACACACACACACGCGCACGTGCGCACACACACACACACACACACACACACACACATATACAGAGGGTTGGAAACATCTATTCAGAAAGAAGATAAAAAGGACAGTTAGGCGTCAAAAAAGCCGATGATGAAATGAGCTAAGATTATGGTTTTGAAATAAGTAATGACAGGGGACACACTCGTGCGCACGCGTGCGCGCGCGCGCGCACACACACACACACACACACACACACACAAGTTGCAGAAGCCTTGGCTTCTTAAAAGCCGGAGGTGATGCTGCCATCTGCTGGTGAGACACTAACCAGAGCAAGAAATGGCCCAGGTGGGACGCAGGAACGGCTCTTGGTCAAGTCAAACTGCCCAGAGGGACACAGCAGCCCCGGGAGCCAAACCCCTGTGCCACAAGACACAGCCCCCCTGACTCAGGTGCAGGACGCCGGGGCCTGGAGACTCAGGCCAAGCTGAAAGGAGCCGGAAGCTCGTGTCTCAGACTCAGCTCTGCCTCGCTGGGCCGGCTCTTCCTGTTGGGAGTGTGAACCTGGGCGATAAATAAACTCGGACCCACTTTCTACTTTCTGCAAAATGGGGAGAAGACATGTGTCTCGTGGCTTCCGGGGGTGCTGGAGGTGTAGAGGACACGGGAGGGGGCTTCCTGAGCCCTTGATGTCTTTTTCGAAGGTGCTTGGGTCACAGCATCAAGACCAACGCCAGGGGTTGTCACAGGCACTCGGAGGGGCCAGCCCGAAAGCTGAGCCAGAGGAAGCTTCTAGAAGCAGCAAATACTCGTCTGCAACAGGGAAGTCTTGAAGAATAAAATCTCGCAGATCACCAGCAATTATTTCTTCGAGCTCTCGGTTATTTGGTTCTGCCTTTCCAATACACACACACACACAGACACACACACACTCACACACTGTCCATAGGTTTGATACTCTCAGTCACACCATAGGTATTTTTTTTTTCTTTTGGGGTCACACCCGGCGTTGCACAGGGGTTCCTCCTGGCTCATGCACTCAGGAATTACTCCTGGCGGTGCTCGGGGGACCCTATGGGATGCTGGGAATTGAACCCGGGTCGGCCGTGTGCAAGGCAAACGCCCTCCCTGCTGTGCTATCGCTCCAGCCCCACAGGTATTTCTTTCGTGAGGTCTGGAACCATTTCCCACAGGAAGCCCACAGCATTCTACAACCAGCATTAACGTGAAACCCCAATCACTGAGGTCAGATCCGAACACACGGGGGGCTCCTTCTGCTCCATCCAGCTGCGTATAGATTCCAAGCTTGCAAGAAAAGGGCAGCAGCAACATTCTCCTGCAATCCAAGACACCCGCGGCTGTCTGGCACGGTGCTGGGACCATGCCCAGCCTGATGGGACGGCAGCTGTGTCAGCATAAAGCAGGGGCTGGAGGAACTGCCTCACCCCTTCCCGCCTTCCTGAGCCCATCAGCAGGTCCCAAGCTGTGGCTCAAGTCCTTCCAGGTTATAAAACACTTGCAACTGCTGGTCGACACTTAAAATCGCTGCACGCGACGCCCAAAGGAGCCATCTGCCCTGGTCTCTGGTGAAACCCCAAGAGAAATGGACCCTGCACAGCTGGTCCAGATCTTCCCTGGGGCCTCTTCTGCTCTGTTCTGCTCCCCAGAAGTCCTCTCCCGTCTGGAAGATGAAGGCACTGACTGCCCTTCGTCATCCTTCCCCTTTGCTCAGACCCTAAGTTCTCTCGGACACACATACACAACCAAGGGGGCAGGGTTTGCCCTGGCCAACGTCTCTCCGGCAGCCACTTGCTCTGAGAAGTGGCTCCCTTAACAGACATGCGAGTGGAACAGGCTGGCACTGGTCTTTGAGCATTGCTGATGGGGCACCAAGTCCTCCCGCTGTGGGTAGCATATGGCCAAGGGAAGAGGCTGGGCTGAGGTCAGAGTGTACCAGAGCATCAAGACAGAGAGAAAGCCCTGTTCTGACCGACCCCCACCCCCACGCCCCCCAGAGGCCCAGAGAAGCCAATAAGGTTGCTCAGCCCGCTAAGGTAAGGTCCTATCTTTCTTTGATCTCCTAAAACCAGCTCAAGTCAAATCTGGTCCATGAGAGACAGAGACGTGCCTGAGTTAGTTGAGAAACAAGTGACGTTCTGTCAAGGTGATTCCCAGGGAAGGTTTGGGAAAGAGAGAGCCAGAGAGTGAGCCACAGGCTTCACAAAAAGTGTGTGTGTGTCTGTGTGTGTGTGTGTGTGTGTGTGTGTGTGTCTGTGTTTTGGGGGGGTACTGAGTGACAGTACAGCAGGGAGGGCCTTTGCCTTGCAGGTTCAGTCTTGGGCATCCCTTATGGTGCCGTGAACACGGCCAGGCATGATTCCTGGGGTAGAGCCAGGAGTAACCTCTGAGCACTGCTGAGCGTGGCCTCCAAACAAACAAAACCCAAAAATGGAAAAGGAGAACTATGAGGAGGGAAGAATCTTCTAGAAAGCCTAGGTTCCAAAGTTCCCACTGACCCCAGCAACACTGACCCCTTTCTGCTGGATGAGTACTCAGCTTGCTTCTGCCCCAGGGCCTTTCCATGAGCTGGGCTCATGGAAAATGCCTTTCCCTGGCTCGAAGTGTGATGGTTCTGAAAACTTCAGGGGCCCTGGGGGAAATGCTTTTGTGACACTCTGAGCCTTCTGTGACCACCATCTAAATTTACCTCCTGGCCAACATACTCTCTAAAACGCCAACTTTGTCTCACGGTCACCACTGCAAAATGTCCTTCCTTGCCAATGGGGCATACCCTGATTTGAAAGACAAACACACTTAATTGATGACTAGGATCTTCAGAGAGTGCATTCTCCCAGAGGGTGGAAAGACTCACTGGGCAGCCCTGAATATCACCATCATCTAGCTGGGAGACCGGCATAAAGTAACATCTAGCTGATGAATGCACGGAGGCACGAAATCTTCAAATGGACAAGTGATCTTGCAAATGTGCGCGCGCACGTGTGTGTGTGTGTGTGTGTGTGTGTGTGTGTGTGTGTTGGGGGCAGGGATCACCCATGCAACATTTAGGGTTCCCTGGGGTCACTCCCGGCAATATCCATATCCAGCTAACTGGGTCAGATGGTCAGTGCTTGGTTCCCATTATGGGGTGCTGTTCTAGCCTCTGGGGTTCTGGGGCTCATCAGGGTTTCACCCATTGCTGCCCAGAAGCCCTTTAATGAGGACAAGTGTTCTAACCCCTGAGCAAACTCCCTGGCCCGCTGGATACATTTCTAACCCTTCCAATGATGTTCCTTCACTGCAAATGGGAACCAAATACTCCCAAGCTGTCATGGGGACGAAACAAAACCCTCTCTTGCAAAGTCCAGCACTCGGAGGACCCTGGAGGCAGGGCGGATCAGATCAAGATGGTGGGTGAGCTCCTCTGGTCTCCATGGAGAGGAACAAACTCCACCATTACCGTTGATTTATAAGAAAAGGAGAGCTTGTGAGTCTAAACCAACTGCAGAGCCATGGTTTAAACAAGATCAGACAGAGGCTGGCTGCCCGACATCTCAGATCCTTGAAATACTGATTTTCATTCTGGGTCTCCAAAAAGGAGAAATTCACATGTGGTGTTTCTGCCACAGTTTATCAGCCCCCACTACTTAGGGGCTGGGGGCTGAAGGGTGCAGGATGTGGGTTCTGCTGGGCTAAGGCCCCAAAGCCCTGCAGTTATCACAGGCAAAGACAAGGCTAGGTCCCTGCACTGCAGGCGATGGGACTTGAATAATTCTTCTTTTCCTAAACAGCCCACAGCATGCGCGAAAAACCTCCTCTACACGTTGCTTCTACATATAATGAACAGTGGAAAGGGTTTTTCTTAGGAAGTTTGGAAAACGGGGAAAGAAGATTGAAGGCGGGGTGTCTTGGAGTGCAATGTCGTCCCACCCAAATTCCCACCAAGAATCCCACCAGGCTACCCCAAACTCAAGAATTCCAAATAGATCCAGCAGGTGGCGCTGTAGGACCAAGCAGGGAGAGGAAACGCACACTTCCGCCAAGCACTTGGGGGACCTTCCCCTCTTCTGGTCTCTTTTATTTCCAAGATTAAACTCCAGATAGGTCACGCTAAGCCGGCGCAAAATCCATCCAGGCAGGAAAACTGTCCAGAGAAATAACAACTTCTACATAAGAGCAAAGTGAGAAGAATGGATGTGTTCCTCAACCTTCTTGTGTAGCTGCCCATGTTACTCAATTTTTCCAATTTTATTGCAGTGGGGGAGCAGGGGAAGGGCAGGAAAAGGTCGGGATAAACTTGATATGTTAAACACACACACACACACACGCAGATGAACTTGTGACACTTATTTCTTATCTATGGCTGTTCCTCAAAAGCAAATTCATGTGACTTAGACCCGGGTTCGATTCTTCTACCCCACTTGGGGAGCCTGGCAAGCTACCGAGAGTATCTCGCCCTCACGGCAGAGCCTGGCAAGTTCCCCGTGATGTATTCGAGATGCCAAACACAGTAACAACAAGTCTCACAATGGAGGTGTTACTGGGCCCGCTCGAGCAAATCGATGATCAACGGGAGGACAAGAGAGAGAGACAGAGAGAGAGAGAGAGAGAGAGAGAGAGAGAGAGAGAGAGAGAGAGAGAGAGAGAATGTGTGTGTGTGTGTATGTGTGTGTTTAACATATCAAGTTTATTGCTAAATGGAGTTCCATACCACATACACTACCTGTTGACCCTCATCTCATGAGTATTAGCAGTTAAAGAGCAAACTGGATAAATATCTATAAAACGCACATGAAGGAAATAGCTAAGTTTAAAAAAGTGGTACAAATGATCAACATAAATTACATGAATTCCTCCCCAGGCAACAAAACTATGTAAAAACAGATAATTTGATTAAAAAAAAATAACTGATATAAAACATAAAGCAAAAGCTCATTTCAAGGCAATTATAATGTCATTTTTATGCACATAAAAATTTCAAGATAGTAGAATATTTCATGAGTTTTTATGAGAAGTCAAAACAGGAAAAAAAATGCAAGAATGCTAATAAAATTGGTATTCCAGGAAGCTCACACTGCACAAAACAAGAACAAATAAGGCCAGGAGAGAGACTAGGTGCTAAAGCGCCCTCCGTGCATACAGGAGACCTAGGTTCGATCCCCGGCACTACAAAAATATAGAAATAAGAACAAACAATGAAGGTTTTGATTAGTACCATCAAAGCCGAGAATACAATTATCTTCACTACCCTGTAGATAATCAATTGCAAAGCTTAAAAATCCATCCTCTGGGCAGGAATTCTGTCACATCCATTCCCATTATCACAGGCACTGAACACACTTGAAAACGAAGTCATCACAATCTTCAATTTACTGTCCCGTAAGTTCTATTACTGTGTTCACTTGAAAAATCTATACCAATAAACTTGAACCTAATTTTAACAGCACTGTACTTCTGGGCGATGCATTATAAGAATGAGACGGAACACAGCTAAAAATAAAGGGAATAAATCCAATTAAAATTCCCGTGGGTTGTGAGGTTGGTACACTGATGCTTTTGGTGAAAGTGACAAAGGAAAGTTCTCAAGGATTGTGAACCTTTCTCGGCTCAGGTGTGTGGTGCTGCCCTGCTGGGCACTTAGAGATCAGGGAATGTTTCCAGGAGGATTTCTGATCATTGCTGCCATCCTAGCCCGGGCTTTTCTGGAAGAAGGGCTCCTTGGGGTTGGCCGAGGACCCGTCACAGGCTCAGCCTCGCCCTTTCAGCCCTGAGCCATAAATCTGATTTCTAGGAAGTTCACAGCAGTGCAGAAGCTGACACTGTTGGGGCCACTAGGCCAGTCTCCAAATGTGGATATGACCCTGTGTGCCCTTTGTTCCGTGGTATGTGACTTAACGTTTTTTTTTTTTTTTTTTTTTTTTTTTGCTTTTTGGGTCATGCCTGGTGATGCTCAGGGGTTACTCCTAGCTCTGCACTGAGGAATTACTCCTGGTGGTGCTCGGGAGACCATACAGGATGCTGGGAATCAAACCCGGGTCAACCGCGACCGCGTGCAAGGCAAACGCCCTCCCCGCTGTGCTAGCGCTCCAGCCCCTGTGACTTAACATTGACCCCTAAAGTCCAGTGTCTCTGGCTCAGGACCCGTGCCTTAATGACCTTTCCCAGAATCCTGCAATGGTGCACGTGCCCAGACTTGGAGCTCTGGCCTGGCAGGAGCAGAGCAGCGGTGCCCACCCTGCCCCGTGCCCGGCTCACCTTGCAGGCGGTACAGCTGCCCAGTGCTGTGCTGCCTCGTGATGTGCTGCCAGTAGGCGCTCCGCGGCAGGGGCACCATGGTGCTCAGGGAGGCGGCACGCTCGCTCATCTTCATCTGCAGCTGCGCGGGGCAGAGGGGAGAGAGGCCCGTCAGTAATGAGGAGGAGGAGAACCCACCCAGGAGTGCCAGCCCGTCAGCAGGCAGGGAGGAGGAGAACCCACCCAGAAGGGTGCCAGCCTGATGCCTATCCCGGGTGAGCCTTCACCACCGCGGTTCCCCACTCACCAGGCAGCAGGGTCTCTCGGCAAGGCTCTGCTCTGGGGAGACCCGCCCACCAGCAAGTGTCTACCCACTTCCCCTCCATCAGGGGGTTGCCACCACGGAGCGAGTGTCCACTCCTGGGAACATTCACCAATGGGCGCATACGCCCATCAGCAAGTGCTCTCCGTTAGGGAGTACTCCTCCATCAGGGAGTATTCACTATGGAGGGAGTGTCCACTCATAGGGAGTATCCATCCATCAGCAAGTATCCTCCTGCTAGGGAACACCCCTCAATCAGGGAGTATCTACCATGGAGGGAGTATCCCTTCACAGGGAGTATCCATCCATCAATGAGTATCCTCTCATTAAGGAGTACTTATCCATCAGTGAGTATCCCCCCCCCCCCCCCGAGTATCCTATTAGGAGTATGTATGCTTCACAGGGAGCATCCACCCATCAGTGAACATCCACCTACTAGGGAGTACCCGTCCATCAGTGAGTATCAACCCACTAATGAGTATCATCCCATCAGTAAGTATCCTCCTATTAGGGAGTATGCATCCATCAGTGAGTATCCTCTTATTAGGGAGTGTCCACCCATGGGAAGACACACTGATGGGGAGTACCCATCCATCAGCGAGTATCCTTCTATTAGGGAGTACTCATTCATCAGTAAGTATCCACCCATCAGTGAGTATCCTCCAACTGAGGAGTACCCAACCAACAGGGAGCGTCCACTCATGGGGAGTATCCATTCATTGCGAGTATCCAGCCATGGGAGTATCCACCCATGAGGAGTATCCACCCATGGGAAGACATACTCCTGCCTCAGAGAGCAGATGTTGGCCTGGGACAGAGGCAAAGTTCCAAACTCAAGGGCAAGTTCCTAGGTTCCACTTTCCCGGGAGGAGAATCTCCAACTCCTAAGTGGCTCCCCAGTGAATCGGACTCCTGAGTTACTGTGGTAGCAGCTGCCCCCTGCCCTGGGCTAGTGCCAGGGCCCTAGCAACACCCTGCAGCCAGCCAACCCACCCGTCCTGGGAAGCGGGAGGGCTGCGGGGCCAGTAAGAGTGTCCAGAAAAAGAGAAAAATCCCGCTCAGGCCAGGGGAGCTTGCCTGGGTGACACCCCGCTTGCCCCGGATGGAGACTGCATGCAGTCCACATGATGAGCGCTGAGTGATTCAGAGGGACATTCATTCTGTGGGGCCACTGAGCTTGGGGCTCATCCCACAATGGTGGATGAAGTAGGTGCTAGTCAATGGGCATGATTGGGAAGAAGATGGCAGAAGCTGGAGTGCAGAGGGCATGGACAAGCTCCACTGAAGCCTGGAGCCCTCATGCCAGAGAGCAGCTGAAGTATGGGGCGAGCACCTGGCACCTGCGACCCTCTGCAGGTGAGGTCGGCTGCAGGTGAGTGTTCTCTTCCTCCCAGAACTCACCCATGAGTTGGTCCCTGCTCAAAGAGGAGGCCACGGGGCAATGCAGGTGGCCCTGAGTCTCCCCCAGTGCCAGCAGGCAGCCCAGGTCTGGCCAGCCACATGACAGGAAGTGACCATCCAGCCACCAGCCTTCCCGTCTGAGCCCTGTCTACACTCAGGCAGGAGAGTTTATTGCACCATCACAGGAAAAAAGACTGTTTGCAATTGTGGGTGTCTGGTGCCCCTGAGCTCCCCAACAGCCCACCCGTCTTGAAGGATGCATCTAGAACAACATGGATTTGTATGACACCGGGCATCCTGACCTGGTCTGCAGCCATGGAAAACTGGAAGCGAATGATCTCCGTGGAAGACAAATCAGGGCAAAGGAGGTAGCTTTAGGTTGTGCCATGAAGGAACCGGCACACATGAATAGCAGAACCACCAGGAGGCATTTCGTCCCTCGAGGGGGAAGGGCAGCATCTGGCCTGTGTTCTGTTTGTGCTTACACGTGCATTTGCCTCGTGCAAATTAAACTCAAGCAAGAATGGAGGGAATACCAGCATTATAAAATGCTACGCCCATTTTTTTTTCCTTTTGGGTCACACCCAGTGATGCTCAGGGGTTCCTCCTCACTCTGCACTCAGGAATTACTCCTGGTGGTGCTCGGGGGACCATATGGGATGCTGGGAATCGAACCCGGGTCGGCCGCGTGCAAGACAAGCGCCCTACCCACTGTGCTATCACTCCAGCCCCGTTTAAAGAGAATCAGAAAATGCCCATTCCACACACCTCATCAGTATGGCAGATACAAGCCTAGTTTCTGTATATTCTCTCCATAAAGTCAAAGAAGATATGATTTCCAACCCTGGAGACCAAAACTCATTGTAGTTGATGAGACCGCGCTTGAAAAAAGAGAGATGTTAACATTCATTCCAGAGAGAATTTAATTTATGTGCTGCTGCTACAGGGAGTGGATTGAGTTCTCTGTATCACAATAGCGCAATCATAAAAATGTGTCCGGAAGTAGACTCACACCGTGTGAGGTCTTATGGCGATATTTTCCATGAACATGCCACACTAGAGGAAAAGGGCAAAGAACGCAGAGCAAAGCTAGTGGAAAAGTTCTGCAACTATTTCTCTATTATTTACACCGTGTATGTAAATGTCTCAATGTTTAAGAATGAAAACCCAAACCAAACCATTCTATTGACCAGTGTCATCTGCTGAAATTCCTCCTCATCTACATGGCGCGCATGGGAATTAAAGAAAAGAATGGAATGTTTTCTAAGTCCTGATGATTGGATCCTTCACATAAAGAGCTCATATTTAATATATAATAAGTAAAGTAAAGTAAGTAAAGGCCCTCCCGTTGATCATTGATTTGCTCGAGCGGGCCCAGTAACGTCTCTATTGGAGACTTTGCTGTTACTGTGTTTGGCATATCGTATACGTCACGGGGAGCTTGCCAGGCTCTGCCGTGTGGGCGAGATACTCTCGGTAGCTTGCCGGGCTCTCCGAGAGGGGCGGAGGAATTGAACTCAGGTCGGCCATGTTGGCTGCGTGCAAGGCAAACGCCCTACCGCTGTGCTATCGCTCCAGCCCCTATATATATATAAGGCCCTCCCACTGATCATCGATTTGCTCGAGCGGGCCCAGTAACGTCTCCATTGGAGACTTTGTTGTTACTGTGTCTGGCATATCGAATGCTCTCGGTAGCTTGCCGGGTTCTCCGAGAGGGGCGGAGGAATCGAACTCGGGTCGGCCATGTTGGCTGCGTGCAAGGCAGACGCCCTAAAAACAGAATATAAAGGAGATGCTTGGGAAGTAACTCCCACTTCAAATCTGCCTGAGTGTGACTCTACTTATGCCACCCCAGCAGGATTTAACTATTTTTAGAAAGTTTACTTAGGAACAAAGCAGCAATGACACCAAGGTTATGTTCATAGGGAATATGACAAGGCTCAGTTCTCTGTTTCTCCTCAATCCTTTGGAAGAATATCCTGCATTGAGAATAAGGCATTAACAAACTGTTTATTATCACATCACTATTTACCAAGTTGTTCACAATACAGTTGATTCAGTTCCATTCAATGTTCCAACATCATTCCAATTCCACCACCAGTGTGACCTGCCCTCCGCCAATATCCTCCATTTCCCACCCACTCCCCAAGCTTGCCCCCTCCACCCAGCTGGAACAAACAGATTTACTTTATATTGCTTATTACAACACAAAGTAAAACAGAAGTATCAAAGTATAGATCAATAGGAAGATTGATTGTGATCATTTTATACCTCACAATGGTCTTATTAAAGTCATTGTGTGAGGCTTTACTGGGCTGGTTGGTGGTAACTGAATCTTCTGTGTTATTGTTTCTGGTCCCTAAGCTTGGGCACTGGTACTCCACACTGGTAGAAGACTGGGGCCCTGAAATCCCCTCTTCTTAAGAACAAATCATGGTGCCAAATGAAAAATTGGAAGGAAAAAAGAAGAAAAATGACAGTGTCCAAGAGTTCGAGGCTATGTTTTTTGCCAGCAACTAAGGAAGGGCCCGGCAGGGAATTCAGCTCCACTCAGGATTGCTTCAATTAGCCTTCCTGCCTCCAGATTCTCCAGGGAAAAGAGCAAAGGCTGAAGAAAGTCAAACTGCTGCCTTCTTGTGCTGAAGCACTTAAACTCTCCCCAGCCGGCATGTGTAGAATATCTAATTTTGATGGCACCCCGGGGCTTGAGGACTCACTCCATCCATGAATGTACTTGTGGGATCCAAAGGCACACAGGGACCCACGTTCCAACGGAGCTCTGCTTCACAGGGACTCTGTGACGAGGGAACTCCCTTGCCCCCACCTCAAGCTCTCCTTCCTCTGGGACTTTTCATCAGATGAAGCAGATGAACCCAAAGAATCTCACTGGCAGGGAAAACAGAACAGCATTCTGATACATGCAGATAAAGGAACCCCAAGATATAAAGTAAAAGAAATTTATTAACACAACTAAATTTTAAAGGAAGCAGGTCTTCCTTCAGAAGACCTTCTTGTGCTAGAGAGAGGGTGCAGAGAGTAAGGAGCTTGTTTGGAAACAGCCAACACGAGTTCCATACCCAACAAAACACCAACAGGGATCACTCCTGAGCACCAAGAAGATCTAGGGGTGACCTACACCCACTCCAAAATACAGACAAACAGAAAATCCCTCCAGGTCTTGTAAGATTTCTGTTAAATGTCCAGAATGACAAATCCCAAGAAAGACAGGAAGTAAATCAGTGAGTCCAGAGCAACAGTACAATGGGGGGGGGGGAGGCATTTGCCTTACAAATAGCCCCGCTGGCTCTGACCCTGGAATTCCACATGGTTTCTAGTCCTGAGCACCATTGGGTATGGCTCAAATAAATGAGAGAGAGACAGAGACAGAGACACAGAGAGACAGAGAGATATAGAGACAGACAGAGAGACAGAGATAGAGAGACAGACAGAGACAGACAGACAGAGATAGAGAGACAGAGAGACAGAGAGACAGAGAAAGAAAGAGAAAGAGAGAATCAGTGGCTACAGGAGATGGGCCTCTTTGGGAACAATGAGAAAGTTCTGCAGTTGAACGTGAGATGGTTTCACAACTCTGTGAAGATAATCAAAAGCACTGAACTGCACATTTAAAGGGGGCATGGTAATATATGGGAATTACCCCTTCATAACGCTGTCATCCAAAGGTCAAATCTGGCAGAGTCAGTGGCTATGCAGAATTAAACAAAACAAGGCAATGGTGAGCTAGGTGAGTTGTGGTCTCTGGCCGCCAGGCAGTGGCCAGGACAATATCATGGGCCCCTGAGCAATGACTGGCCAGCACACAGCACCATGTGATCATCTCCAGCACAGACCAACTCCTGGGGGGGAGGGGTTGGTCCTTCCCCCACAGAAATGGAGTCATCAAGGGGAAAGCAAAACCCAAATGCTTGCTCTGCACTGCTCAGCATCCCTGCCTCCCACCCAGCATGCAGGGGGGTCTGTCGAGAGACCCCGCAGAGGGGTCCTAGAAGCCCCCCACTTTTACATGGGGCCATGTGTCGTAAAACAGGTTGGCAAGACAGCACATCCCAGCTGGCTGCTCCTATCTGTCATGAGCCTCAGTGCACCGTGTCTAGACGGACTCAGAATCCAGCATGCATCCTCACGGAGGCAACGGATATGCAGACCCAGGGCAACTCCCCACCCCCAGGCTGTTTCTTTGAGAAACTCAAGGTTGGGTGCAGCCACTGGGGTTCCCCAGGTGCCAATGAACTGGGCATTTCCACTATTCCTTCCCTGCATATAGGCACAGGGATGAGGATGCAGAGCTGACGGGGAGATTTCAACTAGAAATCAGAAGCCACGTCTACACCTGGAGATCCGCTCAAACGAACTGACTTCTCTCCTTGCTTTAAGGGAGAAAAGACAGGACCAGAGAGATAGGTATGACCCAACTTCTGTCATCCCCCAGACACCTTCAAAAAGATTATACAGGGCTGGATCGATAGCACAGCGGGGAGGGCATTTGCCTTGTACATGCTGACCCGGGTTTGATTCCCAGTATCCCATAGGGTCCCCCGAGCACTGCCAAGAATGATTACTGAGTGCATGAGTCAAGAGTAACCCCTGTGCATCGCTAGGTGTGATGCAAAAAAAAAAATCAATAAAAGATTATACCAATTTATTTCCTGTGGGTACTTGAAACAAGTGTGAAGGGGAGTCCAAGAGAAGAACTCAGTGTGCAGGCCCTAAGCAAGGCGGTGTTGAGACCCTCTCCCCTACTCCCTCCTGGCAGGCCCCCTGCTCTGACAAGCTCCACTTAGCATCCTGGCCAGGCCTTCATGTTCTGTCCACTGAGTTACTCTCCTGGGAAATGGTGATCTGAAATCCTAGCTGTGTCCTCGGACCCAATATTGGGGCAGTGGGGTGGGGATGACTCTGCATCTCTTGCTGGCCCAGGAAAACACAGATTCCCACTGAGCATCTTGTCCCCCAGGTCCACACATGACCCCTGTCTTGCCCGGTCACTCTTGGAGAACTGAAATCTAAGTTGATGTCTCCCCTTTGGACCAATCATTCTGGGGAAAATAATTTATCCACGGGGATAAGAGCCCAAACATGGAGTGAGCCGTAAGGAAAGAGAGCCTGGAATCTGACACTCACAAATACCTGCCTGATTAGCTAGTGAACCCCCTTGAACCCTGAATCAGCTAGATAAAGAAGTTCCTATTTGGCAGGGGATTCTAAGAACATGCAAAACTCTTGCGTTACTGGAATTCTGGGAATCAAATCCTGGGGATCTCTTCTGGTTCACAAGCATGATAACTGGGTGTTCGCACGTCGTGTGACAGGTGCCTCCCTGAAGTCTCATTACATACTTGGTACATTACCCATCTGATGTGAAACGAAAAGAAGAAAAAGAAAAGACTCATCAGGGTCTCCACAAATGTTAGCAGATTTTACACTCAGCCTTGGAGCCATCAAAATCCGATGTTAATTGAATGCTGCTGAACAAGGAAATTCAGTTAAAAAAAACTAACCCCCTAAATATTTGATATTAGAATGTTTCTATCTGGAAGACAGGCTTGAGGAAAATGCCTGGTGACAATGAAAAAAAAAGCCACACAGATGGTCAAGTAAATAAATATGCTTAGACAATGGCCACAGTCAATGGCCCCATCATGTTGACAGCGACTTTAAGGAACAAGTAAAGTAAAGTAAAGGCCCTCCCGTTGATCGTCGATTTGCTCGAGCGGGCCCAGTAACGTCTCCATTGGAGACTTTGTTGTTACTGTGTCTGGCATATCGAATACTCTCGGTAGCTTGCTGGGCTCTCCGAGAGGGGCGGAGGAATCGAACTCGGGTCGGCCATGTTGGCCGCGTGCAAGGCAGACGCCCTACCCGCTGTGCTATCGCTCCAGCCCAAGGAACAAGCATGAATGAATATTGGATGAAACAACAACAGAGCTAACCCAAGGAGCTCAAAGGGACTCAGCACCAAACCTGCCCCTCCACCCTCTGCCTTTCCCAGAAACCCCACTTCTTCCTTCGGAGCTCAGGCACTCTATTTGGATCTGGCAGTATTTTGCTTGGTAGGTAAAAGGCGGTGGAGAGGTCTACGTTTTTGTGATATTTATTCCCCATTTTCTAGAACTCGCAATGAATTGCATTCTTTCTCTTTGAACACTGATACAGTATTATGATGTTCAGGAAATACAAAAAAGAACATAAAGTTAGAAATAAGTCCCAGATCCACCTCCAGAAAAAAAAAATCCCAAACAACAAGAATGGTTTTAGGACATGAGTCTGTCTTCTCTTGGTCTTCTAAAACATGCATGCATAATGTACGCATTTTAATACCCACTGCCTGAACGTGTGTGCCCCTCTGCCAGCCTTCTTCATCACTGCATGACGAACATCTCCTGACCCTCCCAAATCCTGTGTTTTGCGACACTAACAGTGTTGTGGCCCATCTCTGGGCTGTCTCATATTTTATTTGCTCATTTCCTTACTCATTGTTGTAATTCACCAGATTGTTAGAAAACAGAATTTTTAATTCTGACCTATTCCCCTTTATGCCACCCCTCCCCCCGCCCAACTACTATTTTTATTCTGGAATCCACTCTGATGATTCCACGACCTAGTTTTTACATGCATTTTGGAAATTTTAGAATGTAATTCTCATTTACACACCACACTGGCTTTTAGGCTAACTCCTTCCTGTCTTAGTTTCAAACCCAGGGCCTGCTGCTCTCACTGCTCCGGGGTCTTTGCAGCCAGGCTCCCAGGTCTGGGTCCAGCAGCCTCTTCAAGGCTCATTCCTCACCAACTAAGAGCATTTACTTATTACTGGGGGCCACGGGGTACCAGGGATTGAACTGGGGTGAGCCACATTCAAGGCAAGCACCTTAACCCCTGTCATATCTGGCTGGTCCCAGCCTCTCTCCTTAAAAAATTATGTTTTTTTTAACTGAATCACCATGAGATACACAGTTACAAATTTGTTCATGTTTGGGTTTTAGTCATAAAATGTTCCATCACGCATCCCTTCACCTGTGTACATGTCCCACCACCAATGTCCCCAGTGTCCCCTGCCCACCTCCCCCTAGCCTGCCTCTATGGCAGGCTCTCCTCCTTCTCCTCCTCCTCCTCATTCTTCTTCCTCTTCTTCTTCTTTTTCCTTTTCCTCTTCTTTCTCCTCCTACTCCTTCTTCCCTTCCTCTTCTTCCTTTTTTCCTCTTCCTCCTCCTCTTTCTTGCCCTTCTTCTTCTTCCTCTTCAAGTGAGGCTCTTCATCTTCCTCCCCTTCCTCTTCCTCCTCTTCTTCCGCCTCCTTTTTCTTCTTCTCCTCTTTCTCCTTCCTCCTCTCCTCCCTCTTCCTACTCCTCTTCCTTCTTCTTCTACTTCCTCTCTCTCTCCTTTTGTGCATTGTGGTTTGCAATACACAGGTACTGAACTGTTACCATGTCTCTTCCATTGTACTGCAGCCTTCTTCACGACCTGTACACAGTGAGGCTCAACAATCTGTCTCTTCTTGACCATCAGGGCATTGTGGCCCAGACCTGGTAGTCCAGGATAATTTCTCATTCTCTGCTAGACTGCCGCCTCCTCGAACAGGGTCTGATGCAGAGTGGGTACCAGTTCTTGTAGAATGAATGACTGATGGAAACAGAGACACTGTCTCTCCATGAAGAGTCGCAGTATTCCAGAAGGACACAAAAGGATCCGGTAAGACTTCAGTTCCTGAGGAGTCTATTGGGGGAGTCTGAGATGATGGTGTGAGGAAGAACCTCATCTAATAGGGACACCCCTGGGCATGTGTCTTGCACTGTGTATCACCTGCAAACCACAGCTGGCCACCCCCAGCCTTCCGGTAAAATTCATGCACATCAGGATAAATCAGTGCTTCCTTAGCCACCACACACACCTCTGAAGGAGCCTGAAACTGAATGAATTTTTTAATTTTATTTTTGGGTCACACCTAGTGATGCATAGGGGTTACTCCTGGCTCTGCACTCAGGAATTACTCATGGTGGTGCTCAGGGGACCACACAGGATGCTGGAAATCGAACACGGGTTGGCTGTGTGCAAGGCCAAATGCCCTATTCACTGTGTTATGGTTCCAGTCCCACCCAGAAAGAATGTTGAGGTGAGGATGTTTCCCTCCAAGAACAGGCTTGGATGGTACCACATGGAAAGTATCATGCTAAGCGAAATGAGTCAGAAAGAAAGGGATAGACATAAAAAGAATGCATTCATCTGGGGGACATAAAGTAACAAAATAGGAGATTAATACCCAAGAATAGCCGAGATCAGTACCAGGAAGATTACTCCATGGCTTAGAGGCCAGCCGGGCACTCTAGGGGAAAGGACAGCTCAGATAGAGAAGGGAGCACCAAATAAAGGGTGTTTGGAGGATCCTCCCAGGAGGGGAGATACATGTTGAAAGTAGACTATGGACTGAACATGATTGCCACTCAATGCCTCTTTTGCAGACCACAACGCCCAAAAGGAGAGAGAGAACAAAAGGGAATGCCCTGCCACAGAGGCAGGGTGGGATGGGAGGATGGGTGTGGGAGGGATACTGGGATCCATGGTGGTGGAAAATGGGCACTGGTGGAGGGCTGGGTATTTGATCATTGTATAATCGAAACCCAAACACAAAAATTTGTAAATCTACTGTACCTCATGGTGTTCCTTAAAAAAAAAAAAGAACAGGCTTGGAAAGTGGAAGCATCTGCCCAAGACTCCCTCCCCCCTCCCAACCCCTCCCCCTGACCCACTCCCTCTGGCTTCTCCAAATGACTCCCACTAGAATGAAAAGTGGGGGAAGTTAAAAGTAGATTAGGAAAGAATTCTCACCGAAGGCCCAACATCGTTTCAAACCTCTAACCAGAAAAGAGAAAAGGACTCTGAGTATCTCATGAATAGTAAATATGTTTTGAACTGAATCTTAATATGGCAGGTTTATTGCTGTAAAATCCAGAGCAAATGTCTCCCCAAAGAAAGAGTGCTAGTCTCTTCAGGCACTACCGGAGAAAAGAAAAAAGAAAAAGACATGTGAATCCATCCTGTGTTCCCTTACTGCCTGTTATCCATTTCCCACTGGTGACAAATCTGTGTGTCTGAGGTTTATCACACAGCCTGGAGAAGTTCGAGCAAACATCGTGGATGGTTTGGTTCCAGGATTCATTTATCGAGACAACTACACAGGCTACATTCTTTGGGGTTCTTTCTACTTGATGAAGTAAGTTCACTGAATCAATACAAAATGTGAATTGTCTTGGGATGGTAGATGCATGCTGAAAGTAGACTATGGACCAAACATGATGGGCGCTTAGTACCTGTATTGCAAACCATAACACCCAAAAGGAGAGAGAGAGTAAGAGAGAATGTGCCTGCCACAGAGGAAGGGGGTGAGGAGGGGTGGGGGTGGAGGGAGGGATACTGGGAACATTGGTGGTCGAGGATGGGCACTAGTGGAGGGATGGGTACTTGAACATTGTTTGACTGAAATACAACCATGAGAGTTTATAAGTCTGTAACCGTATCTCACGGTGATTCATTAAAAGAAAAAGGAAAAAAAAAAAAGAATCTGGATCCTACCTAAATGTCCCTCAATAGGAACTAGGTTAAATAAACCAATTCATCCATAAAATGAAATCGTAATACTATATGTGCTTTTGAAAGAATAGAATTGGACTGTGGATACTAACATAAATATATGTCCTCAAAAGAGTCATCAATAAAAAAAGCAAGTTTCAGTGTTAAAAAAAAAAAGCGAATCGTGACACTAAGTGACAGGCATGAATGCCAGGGGACAGAGAGGCACAGAGTGCATCTTCCGTGGTTAAGATCGGAGTGGGGTCAGTCACAGGCAGGACAAGATGAGACACGGGACTAACGTCCACATATTTAGGCTGTCGGAGACCCAGGCACGTTTCACCCTTCTCGGCACACCAACCTGCCTGGCATGACTGGGACCAGTCTGGCCGGGAATGCTAGGGGTGTGTAGGGTGCCTGTGAGCTGTGGGTCCCCTCCACCACTGCCAGGGACCCTGGGATCAGATGCACATGAGCCCATCTGCAGCACGCAGGGGGCTATTGGGGATTCAGGTTCTAGAGGACACGCCAACTGAGTCCAGGCACCTGTGGGACACTGCTGTCCAGTGGGGGACGCTGTGTCCAGAGCCTCCCTTTCCCCTTCCCTCCCTGTCCCCTTCTCTTCCCTGACTGCCCAGTCCCAGATACTCTTCTACCCCTATAAATGACCCCACTCCACAAGTGTCTCCCTTTTTATTCCCACGAGTCATGACTCTCCACTTCCTGTGAACATATATGCATCTATATTTGAAAAACAGCCTCAATCTCCCCCACCATGAAATGGGCCCAATACCACTG